AACAGGTAATTGTTGTAGCTAAAAGTAGGTAGCAGTAGTTACCAACACAAACATAAATCTTAGTACCAGTTCAGCTGTGAGCTTCATCTCTGGCCTGTCCCCCAAAGTTAAGTCCTTGATATGGGTTAAAGTGCCCACTTATTTCTTTAAACTCTAAATTCTTCATTACCATCAGGCATCTCTTAGCTAACCCAGCTTCACATAATATCCCATTGCATTTATAGGCTGTGCTTTTATGTGCCCTTGTGTTTTGCTTTCTACTATCAGCTGCTAAACATTTTCATGTCTTCCAATTTTGCACTCCATATTTCATAGAATGGAAGTGATTGTTGATAAATCAAGCCAGATCATAGTAATAGTAGGGAGCACTTATATAATGCTTACCATGTGCCAGACACTTTTCTAAGTATATTACATATGTTATCTCATTAAATCCACACAAACACCATGAGGGAGAGACTATTATTATTTTCTGTTTTATAGATGTGGTAACTGAGGCTTAGAGAGGTTAAGAAACTTGCCCAAGTCCCATAGTTGTTCAGTGATGGAGCCCGATCACAAATTTAGGCATTCTGACTCCAGGGTCCATGCTCTTAACTCTGAACTCTGATTTAGTTATAACCATAAAGCATTTATATGTGAGTCACTGTGCTAAATGTTTTACATGTATTTTCTCATTAATTCCTCACAGGAATCATGTGAGGTAGGTACTATACCAGCCCTGTATTACAGACAAAACTGTTGAAGTAAATTGCCAAAGGCCATGCAGCTAATAAGCCCAGTAGGTTAAGAGCCCAAATCTGTCTGAGTCCAGAGCTCCAGCTTTTCACCACTCTGCCCCTGGACCTCTCGTGCTAGTAAGTGGGTCTGATCTCACCTGCGGTTTGACCCCAGGACAAGTGTTGGCACTCTTTTTTTTATTTATGTGTCCTGGAAAGTGCTCTGCTCACTCACCAGTGTGTTCAGGGGGCACATGCAGAGACGGCGCTTGCTGGGCTTTCCTGGTCAAGACTTTCCTTTTGAGCTTTATCATTAGATGCCACTTTCTTTCCTAATAGCCGATTTTTCAGTCCTGGGTCAATAGGAGCTATTACATTTCCGTTTCTTTCAATGCTACTGCATTTATTTGAGTAATTCATCCACCGGTATTAAGGGGATTCCCGCCTGTTACACAGGCTGTCTCTATGGAGGCATGAATGTGAAATACAGGTAAAAAGCCAGAGTCCTGTGTGAAGAATGCTGTTTCTAAGGACGGTGGTTTATGAACCTTTCTTTTCTATTTGTCCTCAAGGGTTTTCCTTCTGAAAAGGCTGAAGGTTTTGTAGCAGCAGGGGAGACATTCCATTAAGAGGAGGAAAATCGTGAAGCTTATTTTGTCTTTCTTTCCCTTTTCCCAGAGTCTGAATGGCGTTTGGCTGAACAGAGTACGTCTAGAGCCTTTAGAGGTCTACACTCTCCACGCGGGAGACCGCGTCCAGCTTGGGGTGCCCCTGGAAAATAAGGAGAGTGCAGAGTATGAGTATGAAGTTACTGAAGAAGACTGGGAGAAGATGTGTCCATATCTTGCCCCAATGAATGATCAGATACTGGGGAAAAACAAGGGCTTGAGAACTAAAAGGAAATGTAGTTTGGATGAATTAGAGGGTCCTGAAGCTGAAGGGCCCTCACACTTGAAATTCAAAATGAATAAAGTGTCTAGTGAACCTGGCCAGCCACTGAGGTCATGTGGGAAAGGTGAACTGGCCCGTGGACCCTCTGAACATTTGGAACCTCAGCTGACTTCTCCTGAGCCAAGTGAGAACGTCTCAGGGGCTCATGCTTTCTCTGGCCCCACCAAAGTCCTGGCGCTGCATCATCACAAGCGCAAAGCCTCAAACCCGTCAGTGTCTCAGAGCCGCTTAGAGCTGTTCAAGGTGACCATGTCTAGGATTCTGAAGCTCAAAACACAGATGCAGGAAAAGCAAGTAGCTGTTCTGAATGAGAAAAAGCAGACCCAAAAAGGGGACTCAAAGAATATTGTGCAGATGGAGCAGGAACTGCAGGATTTACAGTCGCGGCTTTGTGCAGAGCAGGCCCAGCAGGAGGCCAGAGTGGAGCAGCTAGAGAAGACTTTCGAGGAAGAACAGCAGTCTCTCCAGGTAACACACAGGAGGGAAGGGCAAGGGTGCCTCTCAGGGCGGGCAGGCCTTTGTGAGCCCCTGGATCAGGGACCTAATGCTGAGCGCCAGGGACAGGAGATGGAATGGGAACAGAAAACTTCGAGGTAAGAGAAGGGGGTGAGTCAGAGGTTAAGGCTTCAGTATGATGATCAGGTCAAGAACCAGAGCTGGGTGCCAAGATGGGGTAAGGTGACTAGCAGAGCCAGCCCCAGGTTGTAACTGATCTCGGCGTGTAAAGATGAGGCATTTCAGAACTGAGGTAAATTCAGGGGATTGCATGAAGGTCAAGATGCCACAAAACCACAGTACTCTCCATTTAAACCAATGGTTGTCCTCATGAGTTTTGAGCTTTTTTAATCTGTGATCAAAGCCAAGTCAGTCCCGAGGCAGGTATAGGCCAGCTGGTTACTCTGCCCTTGATGGACCTGTTAGCTTGTTAGCTCTGTACCGAACCTAGGAAGTGGGAGGCAAAAAATGCTTTCTCTCCATCCTGAGCAGCCAGCGTGGGAGGAAACAGGTCCACCATGATGCAGTTGTTGGGTTGAGTGATAAGCCACCTTCCACAGTGCCTTTAGCAAGAAGGTAAAATAAAGACTCTCTCAGCTGTATCAGGATAAGGCCAAATGTGTCATCCCCGAGTCATTTTCTGAGATGACAAGCTGTTGCAAAAGGCTTCTAGGCTAGAACTGGTCCTTGCTCAAAAATCAGTTCCACAGGTTTATTCCCACCTACTTGCTCAAGTAATATTAAATGTCAAGAATTCCCTACTGTTGACTAGAATTAAGACAGACCAGTGAGGATTGCTGTGAATATGCTTTTATCTTGTGTTTACTTTGTTCAGGGCAAGGAACAACCAGCAGTGTTCTCTTATTTCTGAACAATTTATCAGTTTCATTCTAATCTCTTGTCCCCTGGAACTGGTAGATTAGCTGAGGTCATGGATTAACTACATCTTTCCAGGGGACACACTGCTATGTGTACCTTTTTGCTTCCCTTTTGCAGCCTGGACTAAGTTCTTGAAATTGACAGAGGGAGGTTTATCTTTACACTAGAGGCCCGGTGCACGAATTCGTGCATGGGTGGGGTCCCGCCGGCCCGCCCCAATTGGAGCCAATTGGGGCCGCCCCGTGGGAAGGAGCTGCAGGAGGTTGGCTGGCCAGCCCCGCCCCCATCGGGGTGGGGGTGGCCGGTAGGAGGGGCTGCAGGAGGTTGACCGACTGGTCCCACCCCAATCAGGTGTGGGGGGCCGATTGGGGGCAGGGCTGGCCCCTCCCCCATTGGGCCAATTGGCTGGCCACAGTGCACGTCATAGCGACTGGTCGTTCCCATCGCTTAGCTTTTATATATATAGATATGTGCTATATGCCGCCATTCCTGCAGCAGAACTCTGTTTAAGGGCTAATGTGTTCAGGAATGAGAGTGACTATTAATATTTGTAGCTGCTCTGGGCATGCTTGAAGAAATAGCTGTAAAATCTTTTTCCACACCAAAATGGTAAAGAAAGGCCAAAAGGACTGGTTAAGAAATTTTCTCAAGGTATGAGAAGCTCACATATAAATGGCTCATAGTATCTAGTCTTTTATTTATTGGATTGGATTTCCCTTTGTCACAAGCCCTAGGGATTTATTCTACCCGACTACTTGTTCAGAAGTTTGTTTAACCCTTCCTGCTTCACACCAATGCTTTTCTTTTTTTTTAAGCACCCATGTTGCCTGGACTCTGTTTGGGTTCAAATGGTTATAAAGATGCTTAATAAGTGTGTCATACCTATAAAATAATCATAACAGTTTTAAGTCAGTATATTTAAATTAGAGAATAATTTCAAGTTGGCATATTAGATGGATAGATAATTCTTTAAGGAGGGAATGGCCCAGAGGTTCTGTGGAATGTGCTGGTCATAGGGTAATGATGATGTGGAGGGCACCCTGTCCAGGGGGTGAGGGAGGAAATACAGCCTAAGTTCAGGCAAGGGAGGAGGAGCTGTTCAAGGCTGGAAGTGGCAGAGACTCAGTGTGAGAGATGGAGGTGCCCAGAATCAAAGGGAGGAACCTATGAGTGCCGGCCTGGGGATGGTGCTTAGAGAGTTGGCAACTCAGAACTTTTCAGTTAACATCCTTTGGGGAATCACCACATTTGTGGGAAATTAATCCAGAGTATTTTCTCCAAAACAGCCTGAGTGGTGGCTTACAAGTGACAGCCCTGAGGCGAGCAGTATTTAAGCAGTTAACTCTTCTTAGATCCCTTGCTGCCAACAGCTTGAGTAGAATGGGAAATTTTCCACCTGCTTCCTGCCCCCTGTTGCTTCCAGGTGCTCATGCTAGCTGGTCTGCTCTGCTTGTTGCTGGATTTTGTTGCTTGTTTCCCTCTCTGCCGGGAAACCTTCCATTTGGTTTTTGGTTTTGCAGGGTTTGGAGAAAGAGCAAGGAGAAGAGGACCTGAAGCAACAGCTGGCCCAGGCTCTGCAGGAGGTAACTTAGCTCTTGCCATTGTGGGCTGTGGAGTGGGGGCAGCCAGGCTTCGCATGGCCACTGGCTGCCTCTGTTGCTTAGTGCACACCTCTGCAGCACCTGCAGTCTAGATAGAGCAGGTAACAGCTGCTCACACCATCAGGTCGGAGACTGGAGCCTCACAGATAATGCCAGACCTCAGCATGGAAACTCACATCTTCATCTGAGCAGAAGCTGCTCTGGTGAAGACGGAATGGAGCCCGTAGCTCCATTAGGAGGCTCTGGGGAAGTGCTGCACCTCCAGGAAGGTGAGGGCAGCAGAGGGGAATCGTGAGCCATGCCTTCGCCACCAGCAAGGCCTGCAAGGCCTCCATTCAGTCATGGATCCCAAGCTGAAGCTGTCCAGAACCCATTCGAGAATATTCCAATTAAGCATTTTAGGTCACGTCGAGAATGTGCAGTTTAACAGTCAGCAAAACATACTGATTTACTGAAAAGGCAGGGCTCACAGGAGCAGAATTCTCCTAAAAGATAGCTTGTAATTTATTTTATTTAACTTGACTACTTTCCTCATCTGATTATTTTTATAAATTAGTCTTGCATCTTTAAAACCTGCTTTGTCTTCTATCCTTTATGTGTTAAAATGAGTAGTTTGATGCAAGTTTAGTCGGGTTAGTGGATGGTTCGTCTCCTTGAGAAAAGTGAGTGATCGCATTAGAGTTTGTTTAGGATAATTGATCCTTACAGCTCTATTATTGCACACCTACCTCCAACCTTCTTGCAGTGCTAACAGTCACATGCTATTAAAAGCTTGGGAGGTGCCTGCCTTGATTCCTTGAGAGATGCACAAACAGCTTTGGGAAGAACTAGGTGAAAATTCAATTTGTTTGGAATTTTATTTTCTAAGTTTGTTTATTTCCTAGGGTGAGAGGGTAGGCATGCTTCCCATGTAGAGCATTATTAAATTAATATTCAGATACTGTTTTGAAATTGACTGGAAAAGAGTAAGGTTCTGCTGCTTGGAAATCTGTGAGGGATCACTGCATACTCCACACCCCCAACTCCTCACCCTCTCCTGAGACAGAGGAAAACACTGTCGTTCAGCATGAGGTGCGGCCCAATCTCCACTCATTAGCCTCAGATGGGATACTTCTAGGTCATGGCTCTGCGCCAGCATGCCTGGGGGACATAGCTCTCTCTCAACTGAAACATGTTGGTTCTTCTGAAACTGTTCTTTTTCATTTACCAGATCATTATAACAACTGGATTTACATAAAGTTTACAACTTTTCTGAATGCTTTCTTACCTGTTGTTTTATTATTAACACCGATATGGGAGAGGTACCGGTTTTCCCATTTTGTAGATGAGAGTTACAGCACATTTAATTAGTGGTCAAAATGAATGAATACCCAGGCCTTCTGAAGTAACTGCTTTTCTCAGGAGATCACACATTTTAAAGTTTCTTTCTTGAGTAATATCTTTTTAGAAGTACTTACCTTTACTCCACCTTCTTTTAAAAAAGGATGTGAGGAACGATTTCAAGTATAAGCTACACTTAAGCACAGGGCGTTCAGAAATCAGGTTTCATAGAAGTGGATCCTCTTGGCACTCATCCAGGCAGTTAGCCCCCATGAACAAGCTGTTAGCTCTTGGGCACGCCGGGTTCCAGAAAATGCGGGCAGGGTTTAGGCGGGACTGTCTTGTGCGGGAGTAGTGTGTGATATGTAGAATAAGTAGGTTAAAGGCCTTTTTTATTTCAATGAAAATGAAATCTCCGAATACCATTTCTCCCTGATTATTTCTTAAAAGCTCACTCCCAGTGCTGGGTAGCCTCAGAGTTACTTATTAGTTCTTGAGCGTTGGTTTTTAGAATCACTCGGGCGGCTTTCATGAAAACGCACATTCTGGGCCCCCAGCAACACCTCAGAATCAGACTCCCCGCAAGGCAGTTCCTCAGTTGATCTGGACAGCCACGGAGGCTGGGCTATTTCCAGAGGGATTAATAGGTTTCATGGCCTCCCTCCCTGTTTGCTCCCTTCCCCCAAAAAGCAGCAGGTAAGTGTCCTGAAGGAACAAAGGCATTAATTTGAAATTGCCAGTCCATTGATCTCTTGAACTAACGCCACTGACCAGGTAGAGCGGGATGGGGGGTGGGGCGGGGGGAGGTGTGTGTGGCTAAAAGGAGGGATGCCGTGGAGCTCGTCTTGAGTGTGTATCTGCCATGTTTCTGCAGCATCAGGCTCTAATGGAAGAGCTAAACCGCAGCAAGAAGGACTTTGAAGCAATCATTCAAGCCAAGAACAAAGAATTGGAGCAGACCAAGGTACTAGAAAGAAGATGAAGGTTTAGAATTTGGTTAGTACATGCAACTCAGCATTTTCAACCGTGCAAGGGTTGCTATGGTGAATGGTGAGAGAAGAGAGTATGTGGCTTTTCCCAGCCTCAGGGGAAATAATCTGTAAAATTACTCAGGCCTATAGAAGGTTCTGCCTGTAAGACAACATCTGTTTCCTTCCCTCATTCAGAAGCGAAATGCTACGGATAAGACACACTTGCTGCAGTCTAATCCATTGTCTAGGGTAGATGCTCCCTCAGTGTGTCCCACTGACACAGGCTAAGGGGTGCTGTAGTCAAAGGAGTTCGTCCTCATGCATTTATGTAATTATTTCCCGCATCAAATCAGTAGAACTCGTAAGTTAGGTGTTATTAACTCAAGTGCCCACCGAGATCAGACTGGTAATGGAAGTGAGTAGTGTCTGTCCTGTGAGGACGAGGCGCACGGGAAAGGAGTCTTTGCCCCCACCTCCCCCCTAAGAGCAGCTCTGCTGCGGCCAGTTGTCGCCATCCAGAAATGCGAGCCCAGTGCTGTCAGATCTGAGTTTTCCACACAAGAGGGAAATCCAAATGTTCACATAAAATATCCCAATTTTCAAATATTGGCAGTAAGTTCAGTTTTTTGTTTTGTTTTTTAATGGCCAAACTAAACCAATCTGTAGGCTAGATCCAGTCCACAGGCCACCAGTTTGCAGCCTCTGCCCCGAATTACTGCCTGAGCCCGGCTGCATCTTACCGCTGCCCCTCCTCACAGACAGCCCTGGCGCAGAGCACAGGAGGAGGAGACTCGTCACTTGGACTGATAGCCTTATCCTGTTAGTCACAGAGTACCTTCTTTCCCAGCCTCCAAGAAACCAACCATCTTTTTAAACCCAGCAATTCATAGTGTTCAGGGAACTTGACTCCAGTTAGAAATGGGCCCAGACCTTCTTCCCTGTCATAAGCAGTCTTGCTTTGATTAGAAGAGAAAATAAAAGATGAAAAATGAGCCTGGCCGGTGTAACTCAGTGGTTGAGTGTCAGCCTGTGAACCAAAAGGTCACGGTTTGATTCCTTGATTCCCCATCAGGGCACATGTCCAGGTTAGGGGCTCCATCCCCAGTACGTGGTGTGCAGGAGGCAGTCGATTGATAATGTTTCTCTCTTGATGTTTCTATCTCCCTCTCCCTTCCTCTCTCTGAAATCAGTAAAAAATATATATGTATATATTTTTTAAAAAAAGATGACAAATGAATCAATTATATTCCCTAAATATCACTTCCTCTCTCAGAGGCACCTGATACTTTCTTTTGGGGGGATGAGGTGCCAACTTAAATAAATGACTGCTTCAAGGGCACACACCTAGGATGCTCCCTAAAAAGATTGTCCACAGCGGGTTGACCTCTTGGGGAGAGCACAAGGAAACTGAACTGCAGGCTTTGCAGGAGTGGCCTGGCACCCTTCCAGCCTCCAGGAAACAGAGATCATCCCTATTTTATAGAAGAGGCAGCTATACAGAGCACAAGGATCTTATACATAATGCAAACTTCCTGCCCCGGTGGACTGTTCTTTATGTCTTCTGTTTTGTCCAGTGCGTTTTCAGTTTGGGGGGTAATTTTATATTATATCCCCTCTGAACTGCAGTTCACTATGGGATTCTGAATGTCTCCTCCTTGCCTTGGGTGTTGGTGGGGTTAGTATACTGCCTTCAGTTCTTCTCATTTGGTTAATTTAGGGCAGGAGACAGAAACTACAATACAAATACTGAAAAATCGGAGAGAGGAAAGAAAGGAAGACAGCACCCCTATTAGAAACCAGTTCTGAGAAGCAGTACCCCTGGGAAATGCTTTATTCTCTGTGTTGCTCCGCCAGAATGAATTTTTAATTTAGAATCCTTCTGGATCCTATTCCAGATGATTAGCCCTGCTCGCTGTCCTGTTTTGCATTCTTGTTGGTCCTCCCGAATGACGGGTGGGGTTGGTTGTGTCTTTGCAGGAAGAGAAGGAGAAGGTGCAAGCACAGAAGGAGGAAGTTCTTAGCCACATGAATGACGTGCTGGAGAACGAGCTGCAGTGTATTATCTGTTCAGAATACTTCATTGAGGTAATTACAAACAGTGACTCCCGAGCGCCTGCCACTCCGGACCCTGGGAGCCCAGCGGCACGGGCTGCTGCTGCTGTAGGGAAACATTGGGAAGAGCTTTTTCTTGCGGGAACTTCCTGTAGCTATCTGACTGCAAAGTGATGTCTAGAGGTGGCCACTTCTCATTTATTCTGTAGTCTTCTTTAACTTTCCTGTCCCTTTTCCTGTTTCATTTGTTCTTGAGAATTTACTTGATATAATCAATATTTTTAGCTGCAAAACAGCCTTTCTCTCTGTTGTTGGGGAGAAAACAGAGCCATATGGCATTAGTTTTTGAAGAATCAGAATAAAGCTGCTCAATAAAGCTACTCCCCACCATGAATGGGCGCCGTACTGAGAGTGGGCGTGCAGCGCAGCCTTTAAACAGGGCGGTCATATCACTGATGTGTGGGCACTGGGAATTCAGCACATGTGGACCATGTCTCAGGGACTCTGAGGCCTTGTGAAAAAGGAACAGCTCTCTCCTCCGTTATCATTAGTTACCTGTCATATTTTTGCATAGACTCTTATTTTTGCAAATTGTACCCTTTGTGACCAGTTCATCTTATGCCACAAGTTTAAATTCGAGTTCTTAAGTGACAGTGCTTTTCAGCTTCCTTTACAGAGGAAATCACATACTGGCCCTGTTTCCTTTTTTCTGTTGGTCTTTATGAAGTTTGAGTCTACCAGCCTCCTAAAAACTCTCTCCTGAGCAGACCTGTTTCTTTGCTCTGGATCCACTTTGACTTCAGGTCATAAATTTCCCCATAATTTCTAGTCATTTGATTCTCTTTTACAGACTCTACCAGGGAAAGACAGGAAAGGGGGCTTGGAACAGGGGATGGGTTAGCCAAGCTGGGGCTTCTGCACAGACAAACCAGACGGACATCATGGCCTGTGTTTTGTGTACTGCATATTGCCTGACCTTTTCTACTGGTCACCTCTTAAAGTCAGTGTTGGAAAGAGGTTTCCTTTTAATCAGACAGGTTTTCAGTGCTGTTTATAAGAATTTACCTCCTATAGTAAACAGATTGTCTCCTAGTGGGCTTTTGGGCCAACTTGGCATTTGAAACATACATTATTTCTGTGTCATTTTCCACTGCCATCCTAAAAGGAGGATGAAGGCTTTTGAGCCTCGGGAAAGTTGTGTCTTAGGAAACGTACATAAACAGGAGCAATGAAGATAATGCTTTGTATTCTTGGGAATGAAAAGCATGACGGAAATGGGACCGCTGGTCTCAGCGAACCCCTCAAATGACAGGCCCCTCTGCTTCCTCACTCTTCACAGGCTCATTCACTCAGGGTCAGGCTCTGGCAGGGAGCCCATTACAGTTTTTGTATTTTTCCCTTTTTCTTCAGCCTTTTTAGTTGCCTTTACATGTATTTTACTTTTTTGGTTTCTTTTGAATAGAGAGGAGGATTCCTACCATCCTATATGCTGAATTTTCTGTATGTACTCCCCTTTCTATATTAAAATTGAGGTTCTAATTCCCCATTAGCAAGACACACATTTGTTTTCCATAAGAGAATTAGTGATGTGCTTGTACCAAACATTCACATGCTTACTAGTCCTTCCTGTGTCCAATGACGTTTGTTTGCAAGGTAACTAACCCATGTTGGCAGTGGCCTAAGTTGGTGGAACAAGACAGACAAATCAGCCACCTGGGGCCTGAGTCTATGAATTTAACTTTGAGAAAGAAAATAAATCATCTAACTTGAAGCTTAAAATTTCCCATCCCCTGCCCAGCCAGGGTTGCTCAGTGGTTGAGGTCGACCCATGATCCAAGAGGTCACTGATTCAATTCCCTGTCGGGGCACAAGCCCTGGTTGTGGGCTCGATTCCCAATAGAAGGCAGCCTATCGATGTTGATGTCTCTCTCTCCCTCTCCCTCCCTTCCTCTATACAATCAATAAAAACATACTTTAAAAAATTTTCCAGCCCCCCAAATGGTTCTGGTACCTTTTGTAAGCTCTCTAGAAAAGATTGTGGTTGAAAATCCACTTGGTCTTGCTTAGCTTTGAGATCACACCCACCCTGGGAAAGTAAACCTGACAGTTCTGATGTGTGTTCACATTCCCATTGCAGGCTGTCACCTTGAACTGTGCCCACAGTTTCTGCTCCTATTGTATCAATGAATGGATGAAGAGGAAGGTAGAATGTCCCATTTGTCGGAAGGACATCAAGTCCAAAACCCCCTCCCTGGTTCTGGACAATTGCATTAGTAAAATGGTAGATAATCTGAGTTCTGAAGTAAAAGAACGACGAACTGACTTAATTAAGAGACGAAAAGGTGAGTGATTATGTACAAGAAGGTGAGTGCCCTCAATGAAGGACTTGAAACTGGTTGGGGAAGAGAGTTAGATGAAGAAGATGTGGAAGAAAGGGAGAAAAGTAAAAGGAGTTAAAGATAATGTTTGAGAAAGAGTTGAAGTAGCATTAACTCCCTTACTTGAGCAGCGGGAAAGGGGAGGCTTAGTGTATGTGCCTTGGTTGTAGGGGTAAAAGAAGATGTGATTAGAAACACATGGTCAGTCAGTTTGCTGTTTTAATCACTAGATGGTGCTGTTGTTCAAGACAGTTTAGTTCTGTCCAGGTGTTGTAAACCCTTGGGTTGGGTATACAGTCAGTTACAAATTGGATGTGTACAAGTCAGAGATTCACAACTTGAATGCCTGAAGAAAACACACATACAGGTTCTCTCTGTGATAGTCACAGCTTAATTACACAAATTGGGCATAATGTTAAACCAGAGGCAGGTAAGTTTAATCCTGCCATGTTATTGGGGGTGCTAATATGTTTACCAACAAGTCTCCCAGTAGGAGGGAATTTGGATAAAGGGAATGGGGAAGCGGTGGGTGAATTTCCCTAATGAACCATGCTTCCACTGTGAACTCTTATTTAACAAATGGCCTCATCACCCCTGCTCCCTGCCCTGCTTAGACCTGAACGGCCTTTGGCGAAAGGACATGTCCCGGGGCAAAGCACAAGGGACTTAATGGATGAGAAGGTTGGTTCTCGCCGTGATGAGTGCACAGAAGCGGGGCGGACTTGATTATCACTAAGTCCCTTTAATAATCAGTGTAGCACTGCCTTGTGAGAACGCTGCAGAGCCAACGTGCTGTGATAGCAATCGGCTGCACATAAAGGCCTATCAAAGAGCCAGAAGGTTGCTGCCATTCCAGGTGCTTCCCACCACCTGGCCATGGTAACCCCTATTCACGTGTGCCTTCGGATGTACCTTCCCCTAAGTTCAGAGAAGCTGAAGGCTTAAAAGCCACACAGCTAGCAATAGGGTCTTCGCCCACTGCTTCCTTTCTCCCAGCCCTCCAGCAGGGAGCAGCCACTTGGAGCAGGGCCAGGAATCTGATGCTGATTTTCGAGCAGCTGTGGCATGAGACGCCCTCAGGTGGTCAGCTACAGCAGAGGCAGTCACAGGGCTGGGGGTGCTGAACAGGAGTGTTGTAGAGCCTGTTACACTCAGGGAAGATATTCTGACCTGCGCCCCGTTTTAAGCCCCCAGAAGTTGTTTTTACCTCCCAGGAGCCATTGATTCTGGCAGAATCCCAACGTTCCTCCTCTGCACCTCCCTCCTTCCACAGCAGGCACAGGAACACTGTACTCCGGGCCAGGATGCAATGGTCCCTGAGGCACTGTCTCCGTCAGTGGGGGAGGTGGAGAGGGACACAGGTAGCATGACAAGGTCCACAGCAGGGCACTGGGAAACGGCGGGAAGAGGCACTCACGTCGGCCTGGGCAGGCAGAGTGCGGGCAAAGCTTCACGAAAGAAGTGCCCTTTGAATGAGTTCAAGGTTCCCTAAGGGGCAGCTTTCCAAGCAGAGGACTCAGCACAAGCAGAGCACAGAGGTTTGAGAAGCATGGCTTGTTCCTAGCAGTGCCCCTTATGTCCACACCAGGTAGAATGTCTTCATGGTGCCGAGCAGCGGGTCTCCTGGGGCATTGCATGTGCCTTCTGTTCGCTTTCCTCTTTCCTTTCGGCGGGAGCAGTGACCTGGGCACCCCGCACTGACCAGGCTCAGCCTTTGAGCTGAAGTGTGCTGGGCCTGTCGGGGCCGGGGAGACACCCAATACTTTCTTCATCCAGCCCGTTGACTAGGTTTCCTCTCGAAAGTTCAGGCTCGGTAGATGGCTTCATGCAGCCCTGGAAAGGGAGAGGATACCCAACTCCCTTTTCTCTCCAAGGCTAAAGAGGGTATCTCTGCCTTTCTGGTCACACGTGGCGCTGCACCGTAAGCCGGTCGGCCTCCCAGCCATGTGGGTTTCCGCAGTTATCACAGAGAGCGCAGCTTTGAGGCTTCCTCCAGAGACAGGCAGAAGTTCTAAGGCCTGGTTAGGGAAACCGCCAGAGCATCCACAGCTGCACTGGTCTGCGGTGTGGGACTGAGCGAAAGTCTCATTTCAAATACCAACCTTCCTAGCCAACAGAAAGCTGGTGTAATCCCCAGTGCATGGGAATTTGAAAAAGGACCAAACTTAGGCTCTGGGAGCTAGGGTTGGCAGGCCTGTCGTTGTCGGAGTGCTGACACTGGTGGGGCTCTTTTCCTCCTGCAGGGGTTGCTCTCAGCACGAGTTCAGAGAGGGAGACCTGCCTCTCTGGCAGTATAGGGCTCATCCCACCAAGAGCAGCCTCACCTAGGCCTCCCTGGCTGGTGAAGTGTCCCATGGGAGGCGCATTGGTCCCTTGTAAACTCTGGGTGGCCAGATTATAGAGGAGAGACGGAGAATGCTAAGGTGAAGAAAGGGTGCTCTGGGGCTGAGGCAGATCAGGAGCATCAGTAAGTGCTAGCGCATGAGTAATTGTAACTCACCAGGATGCTGACGGGAGGTTTGCCTGCAGGGAAGACGTTTACCCCCTGTGGAGGCTCCCCTCCCCTGTTATTCTGTCCTCCTTCCATGTTTGTTGCTTGACAAGAGTGTTAACATTCCCACTTTTAGCTTTCCCCAGCGGTTTCTCTGGGTTGGGCTCAGAAAAGAAGAAAGCAAATTTTCTAGAAATAAAACCCTGTTGGTCCTTTAGGACAGTGATTTCCAGTCCAGGGGCTTTTTCAAAGCACATTCCCCAGCTCCCTTGATACTATATAATACTAGTGAGAGCGCCATGGCCTTCAGGTGTGCTGAGGTGGGGAAAGGTTCATGAACCACAGCTTTCCCGAATCCAGAGGTTGGGGGTCTCTGGGAAGATCAGCCCAGGTCAGTCCCGGCCCAGGTCAGTCCCGGCCCGCTCCCTGTAGCCAGCTGAGGGTGGTCCCGGCATGGGACACAAGAAACTGGCAGTCTCTGAAGAGAGCGCCCGCCTGCCCACCTGGGAGGCTGTCCCTGATATTGCCGTCGCCCCTGCTGAAAGAGCCCAGTGAAGGCCTGGGTAGGGAATGGCAGAGCAATAGTGTCTGGCAAGTTGACTTCATCCAGAGAGAATACTTGTTGGCAAGGACTTTTAATGCACCCAGTCCTGCTCCTAGGGCAGTGATGGCAAACCTTTTGAGCTCAGCGTGTCAGCATTTTGAAAAACCCTAACTTAACTCTGGTGCCGTGTCACACATAGAAATTTTTTGATATTTGCAACCATAGTAAAACAAAGACTTATATTTTTGATGTTTATTTTATATCTTTAAATGACATTTAACAAAGAAAAATCAACCAAAAAAATGTCACCTCTGACACGCGTGTCATAGGTTCACCATCACTGGTCTAAGGGACAGTAGCTCTCAGCAAGGGTAGCATGGGGTGGGGTATCCACCTGCATGCATCCAAATAGTGTATAACACTGGACTCTACAAATTTATCTTTTACAAAATTGTCATGGGATAGAAAATTGGCAGGCTTCTTATCTAGAAGTTTTTTTTTCTTTATAGTCCAAAACCACCCTCCATTTTTTGCCCCTCCTTTTATATATATTTTTCTAAATTGAGATTTTTTTTTATTCTTCTCCTGAGGATACATTTTTATTGATTTTTAGAGAGAGAGGAACAGGGAGGGGTTGTAGAGAGGGAGAAGGGGAAGAGAGAGAGAGAGAGAGAGAGAGAGAGAGAGAGTAACGTTGATCGGTTGCTTCTGTATGTGCCCTGACGGGGATTGAACCCACAACTAGGTATGTGCCCTGATCAGAATCAAACCCGAAACCTTTTGGTATACAGGACGATGCTCCATCAAACTGAGCCACCCAGCCAGGGCTTTCTTCTTCTTCTTTTTTTTATTGTTGACACTAATCCAGATGTCCCCACATATCCCCCTCGTCCCCCCTCTACCTAGCCCCCGCACCCCCTTCCCTCTTGCCATCACCACACTGTTGACTGTGTCTATGGGTTATACATATATGTTTTTGGCTAATCCTTTCATCTTCTTTCATCCAACTCCCCATTCCCCTCTGACAGCTGTCAGCCTGTTCCATGTATCCATGCTTGTGGTTCTATTTTGTTTGTCATTTTATTTTGTTCATTAGGTTCCACATATAAGTAACATCATATGGTATTTGTCTTTCTCTGACTGACCTATTTCACTTAGCATAATACTCTCCAGGTCCATCCATGTTGTCTCAAAGGATAACAGATCCTTCTGTTTTTACAACTGTGTAGTATTCCATTACATAAAAGTACTACAGCTTTTTTAATCTGTTCATCTGCTGATGGGCACTTGGACTGTTTCCAGATCATGGCCATTGTAAACAGTGCTGCTATGAAGCATATATTCTTTCTGATTAGTGTTTCAGAATTCTTAGAATATATTCCCAAAGTGGATCACTAGTTCAAAAAGCAGTTCCATTTTTAATTTTTTAAGGCAATGCCATACTGTTTTCCACAGTGGCTGCAGCAGCCTGCATTCCCACCAATAGTGCACTGGTGTTCCCTTTTCTCCAAATCCTCGCCAGCACTTGTTTGTCGATATACACTGAGTGGCCAGATTATTATGACCACCCCCTCAGTACTTCGTTGGGCCACCGTGTGCCTTCAGTACTGCGGCGATTCTTCTTGGCATTGACTCCACGAGATGTTGAAAGGTGATGCGAGGAATCTGACACCATGCCTGATGAATAGCACTGTCCAGTTCTGTGAGATTTGAGGTTGTGGAACCAGCTGCCTGATGGCTTTTAACTTTGTCCCACAAATGCTCAATTGGATTGAGATCTGGTGATTGTGGGGGCCACCTAAGCAAGGTAAAGTCTCCCTCATGTTCTTGAAACCACTCCTGCACAATACGAGCACCGTGGCATGGCGCACTGTCTTGTTGGAAGAAGCCATCTCCATTGGGATACGCCATCAACATGATAGGATGAACTTGGTCAGCAACGATACTTAGGTCTGTTGTGCTATTCAGACGTTGTTCCACACGCATTAAAGGGCCCAAATCATGCCAGGAAAACATGCCCCAAACCATAACACTGCTCCCACCAGCTTGAAGGGTTGTACTCATGCATGTGGGGTGCATGCTTTCATGCTGTTTCCCCTCTGCCATCTGCATGATGCAACTGGAAACGTGATTAATCGGACCATACGACTTTTTTCCCAATGCTCGACTGTCCAATCCTTGTGTTCCTGTGCGAATTGGAGACATTTTACCTTGGTAACTGCAGACAGCAAAGGTTTTCGAACAGGCCTTTGCTTCCATATCCCATACGATGCAGTGTACGGCTAATTTGCCTACAAACGTCAGGTGGTCATAATAATCTGGCCACTCGGTGTATATACTATTGATGGTAGCCATTCTGACAGGTGTGAGGTGACACCTCGTTGTTTTAATCTGCATTTCTCTGATGATCAGTGACTTTGAACATTTTTTTCATGTCTCGGCCATCTGTATGTCCTCTTTTGGAAAAGTGTCTATTCAGGCCATTTGCCCATTTTTTAAATTAGATTGTTTGTCTTTCTGGTGTTGAGTTGTATACATCCTTTATATATTTTGGAGATTAACCTCTTATCAAATGTATTATTGGTGAGTATAATGGGTTTCTTTTTCATTTTGTTGATGGTTTCTTTTGCTGCCCCTCCTTTCTTCCTTCCCTTCTCCTCCTCTTTTGTCTCCTATTGGTCTTCCTTTCCTTTTCCCTTAAGTGGTGCCTCCCTCGTCGCCCTCATTGGCATCTCAGATTGCACAGTTGGGGCCTGCCGGCTTGGCTCAGTGGTTGAGCATAGACCTATGAACCAGGAAGTCACGGTTCGATTCCCAGTCAGAGCACACGCCTGGGTTGCGGGCTTGATCCTCAGTGTGGGGTGTGTAGGAGACAGCTGATAATGATTCTTTCTCATCATCGATGTTTCTATCTCTCTCTCCCTTTTCCTTCCTCTCTGAAATCAATAAAAATATTTTTTAGAAAAAGGTTGCACAGGTGGAAGTCTATGAACCAGGAAGTCACGGTTCGATTCCCAGTCAGAGCACACGCCTGGGTTGCGGGCTTGATCCTCAGTGTGGGGTGTGTAGGAGACAGCTGATAATGATTCTTTCTCATCATCGATGTTTCTATCTCTCTCTCCCTTTTCCTTCCTCTCTGAAATCAATAAAAATATTTTTTAAAAAAAGATTGCACAGGTGGAAGGGACAGGGCAGCATAGGAACTGTTCCCCCAGTGGCGAAGGTACTGTGGTCTTAGAAGTCAGCTTCTAAGATACGAATAGGAATAGGAGTGACCGTCAGAGCCTCCGAACCTCACATTTCTTGTTGACTCTGTAGTCCTTGAGGTTTCTGGGTGGTCTCCCTCCATCGGGAGGTGAAGCCTGTTCCGACCAGCGCTCTGTGGAGGAGTGTCTTCTCTCCTTCGCCGAAAGCTGCCACCTCACCGCAGGCCCCGGACAAGCTTTCACAGCTTAGGGGATGGGCCTTCCTGGCATAATGATCCGTCGGTGCACCCCAAATGCGTGCCTGGCTGGGTTTGAGGGAACCACGCCTCGTGCTAGAGAAGAGACCAGGCTGACCTTTGCTTACCTGCCTGCAGAGTCAGGAACCCTGGTGAGCACCGCCCACCAGCACCACCACCACCACCACCACGTTGTACTGAGGGCAAGACCAGTGCTTGCTGGCCAAGGCTGGCCCACCAGCCGGAGAGCAGGGCCCAGGGGAGGAACCTGAGCACACCGAGAGCTTCAGGAGAAGTAAGTGAGCAGCTCCGGTCGGCGGGGGTCCAGCAGGAGGGGCTTCACCTCGCTTGTTGCTGTTTCCACAGCACAAGTTCCTCCTGGCCTTTTTGGTTGTGTTTTCTGTAACGATAGAACAGTTATTTTGTCTCTAAAAAGTGGGTCCTCTCTTCCCGCTAACGTGCACCTTTCCATTGGCTTTTCAGACAGGCTTCCAGGAGCCTCTTATTGTGGGAGACCGCTTGTGTGAATGTAGCGTCTGTCATTACCCAAGCAACTCCTCCCGGGGCCTTCCTTGGTCCCGCCCTTAAGGCTGGCTGTGCCGGGTGTTTTAGAGCACACTCCGATCAGCGGGTGTTCTAGATGCCCATGAACCCGTCAGGGACACCGTTTCCTCCTCGTCCTTCCCCCATGGAACCCCATAGGGTTAGGTCCGTCACCAGGGGGCGTCTCTGCATCAGCTGCACTGTATCCTGTCCATTGCCTGTTGCTGTGGCTCCTGTGACGTCTGGTTAGAGCAGGCGTGCTCCTGTTTCTGGCCAGGGCTCCTGCTTGAACAGCCTCCTGCTTTTCTGCCTGGAGAGTTTGGACCCTTTTTTTACTTTTGGCCCATGAAACCTGAACCAGAACCAACCCCAAAGAAACTGCTCTTCACTTCCTTCCTCTGGACCCTTCCTTTTTCTTAGTACCTACTGTCAGGTGCTAGAATGGAAGTGGGTGGACGCTGCAGCCTGCCTGGTGGAGCAGAGCTTTCATCCAGATGCAGGGCCTGGCCGGTTGTAGTAACGCTATTAGAAGAGAGATGAATGGTGCTAGGCAGAGGCCCAGGGACAGCAGAGAAGTGAAGGGAAGTGAAAGGGGGATGGGTGCATATCACCGGTAAAGGGGCTAAGAGCAAGAAAGCAAGGGGTGCTGAGGGCAGGACGGCAGGGTGCTAGAGAGGGTTGAACATTGAGGCTGGTGGGTCGTGGGAGAACTACAGAAGGTTTTGGGTGGAGCTGTGACTGTCCATGTTACACTTTTCTGGATAGATTAATGGGGTGCAGTGAAGATGATACATGGGGATGGGAACAAGACCAGAGGCAGCAGCTCTGGCCAAGGATGATGGCTGGGCCAGAGAAGTAGCAGTGGGGATGCAGCGACTGGCTGGACTTGAGCAGTGGTTCCGAGGGTGGAATCTGCAGGTTTGTGGAGCTGGTTTGCTGTGAAGAATGAAGGGGCTCAGAGTTGCGGATCACTCCGGTTTCTGTCTGGCAGCGGGGCGATGATGGTGCATTTGCTGAAATGAGGTGCAGGTTGTCAGGGAGGTGAGTTTAGTTTTAGACTAAAGTTGTTTAGACCAAAGTGAGTTGAGCGTGCCTGAGGGCATTTAAGTATGTGGACCTGGAGCCCAGAAGAGTCTAGATTTGGGAATCTTGTCTGGGTGGTCAGAGCCCAGGGTCAGGTCCCGGCCCGGAGCAATGCCAGCATTGCAGGTGCGGGTGGTGGAAAGGAGTGTGCAGGGCAGACGGTGAGGAGTGGCCAGAGGTGGGAAAGGGGGCGTGTGGGACAGGCCATCGGAGTGGTGTGCTTTGAGCCTTCCTGACCCCACCCTTAGCCCTTATTACATTCCAGACATCTCCCTATTTATTTACTTCAAATACTTACAATACTGAAATTGTATTTGTTAGTGTGTTCTTGCCCCTCAATTTGTAAACTGAGGACAGGGGCTGTATCTGAGTGTGTGTGGTCTCAGACCTAGGAGAGTGTTCGGCAGGTCCCCAGTGAATGCACATTTACGAGTGGTCACGAGCTGAGGAGTGGGCAGTGAGGCTGCAGCTGAGAAGATAAGGACGGAAAAGTGCCCTTTGGACAGAGCAGGCGTGGGGGGACTGGCGGGTCAGCAGGCAGTTTGCATTGAATTGTGGAATGAGTATGGGCTAAAGTAGACAAGAGTAAGATGAACAAGTTCTTCAAAACATTTGGCTACAAGTGTGGGGAGCTACCCAGAGAAGGCCATGGCTGGGAAGGACGTGAGGGTAAAGGATTTTTGAAGACATGAGAGATTTTAGCACGTTCACCTGCTGGTTGGAGGGAGCCTGGAGAGGAGATGCTGGGGAGCCAGGACGGCGGACGGACGGTTCCTACGAAGGCGGGAGGGAGGGAATGCAGAGCACAGAGGGAGGAAGTAGTCTTTCAAAGTAGGAGGGTACGTCCTGTTTCCTAGAGAGAAGGGGACAATGTGGGAGGACAGGCAAGGACATGTGCTTGAGGGAGTCCAGAGCATTTCTTCCCGGTGGCGTCTGCGTTTTTCAGTGAGCTGTCGGGAGGCCCTTAGCTGAGAGGAAGGGACGTGCATGGTTCTCCCAGCTCACCAAGGCTGCCCGTCCCAAGGCCTACCACCTCAAAGGCTGCCCCAAAGTGGGAGAAAAGTAACTTTTACAACCCTTGGAGTCTTCCTTACCAAAGTGTTCCGGACCTCAGTCTCAGAGAAGGGCAGTTTCCTTGGTGGCTGTCTTGTGCCCTCGGGATAGGCCAGGATTCCCGCTTCTCCACGAGGAGGCAGAAGTTATGGGAAAAGACCAGAGCCCAGCAAATAGCCCCTCCGACCCCTCCCTCCTGGGCGTTGGAACTCCCGCCTCTCCCTCCAGTCACTGTGGATGCAAGTCCCTCTTTCCTTCAGCAGATATTTACTGCGGGCCAGCTTGGTGCCAGGGCCTGTTCCAGGTGCAAGAGATAGAAAGAGAAGTGAAATCTAATAAGTTAGCACTGTGGAGAACAGCAGGCTCGGGGGTGATGGGGGAGCTTCGGCAGTTTTTGCTGGAGCCGTCAAGGAAGGCATCACCAAGGAGGTAGCATTTCAGTAAAGCTCTGTGGGAAGTGGCCGCTGCATTGGGGGAGGGACTAGAAGGGGAGTGTGCTTGGGGTTGCTTGGAGTGTAGGACGAACGGTAAGGAGCCCAACTGGCTACAGTAGAGTGAGTGACGGAGGAAGGGGAAGAGGGCAGGACGTGGCGCAGGAGGCAGGTCATGTGAGCCTGATAGGCCTTCGAAGGCCCTTGATTTTCCTCTTACCCTGGGGGAAGTGAGGAGCAGACTTTGAGCAGAGTGATATGATCTGACCTGTTTCTCTTTGCAGGGGCTGGTCTGTGGGGAAGAGATGGAGGGTGGCAGTAGGGAGGCCAGAGAAGGCCCATGCAGCTCGTCTTTTATTTCTCTTCTCTTTTCCTCCTTTTCCCTCCAAAGCACAGAGATCGTTGTGAAGACTGCCGCGGGGGCCTTTTAAAGACTGCCAGGCAACAGAGCGCGGGGTGGTCTCAAGGATCCTCTGTGGACTGTCTTGGGCTGCGCCGGGACAGAGCGCGGGAGAACCACGTGGGACAGAGTCTAAGTAAGAAGTCGTCCGTCACGAGCCTCCCATGCTGGCCAGCCCGCTGCACCGTCATCTGAAGCCCCCCGTACCCACCGCCCTACGGCCTCCGGGTACTAAACAGACTCTGCCTCACTGCGTGTTGAATGGTTATGTAGTTCCGTTTGCTTTTTTAAATTTGTTGTTGTTTTGTTACTGTTTTGGTGCCTCTGCTGACCTTGTTCCGGACAGCTTGAATGTACCCCCGTGGCTGCCCCTGACGCTAAGGCGGCCTCTATTTGAGAGGACGGCACCCCTCTTTGTGAAAACAAGATGTTGTTTCCTGGAAATAAAATGTAAAACTTAACAGTTGCTCAGCTGGGCTTTGGTGTATTTATCTTCCTTCCCTTCCAGCTCCCAGACGGTCTCACAGGTAAACACTGGCAGCTCATAAATTGCAACCAAGAAAGTGACTGTATCAGATGATAGACGCGGTGAATGTCAGCCCAAGGAGCCGGGCCCAAGGTCATGGCCATCGCAGATGGGCTCCGGGAAGCCCTGACTGTTGCGTTTCCTTTTCCTTCCAGAGCTGGGGCCCTGCTTTCCTGGCTCAGGACGGGGTGGCTTCCCTTCTTCAGCTGGGGTTTGGAAGTAGTTTCCAAGTCTATTTTATTGTGTCAGAAAACACGGGTGATGCTTTTATGTGTGTGCATTTAAAAAAAAGTAGAAGTCATCTCTCTTGCTACCTCCTAAGCAGAAAGAAAACTAGTTTGAAATTTGGGAGCTAGAAGCTAGGGCAAACCTGTGGTATCCTTGGTTACCGGTGATGAGAATGAGGGACAGTACAGGAAGCTGAAGAGTAGTCGTTAGAGCAAGGAGCTATTAGTACTGTGAACTGCACTATGTCAGGCTGCGATTTGCTTCTGGAGGGAGAGGGGTTCTCCTTTACCGTTTATGCCTACCTGGAGAATCGGTCTTTGTAGTTTTCATAAAGGATTGGAAGCTATTGACTGGACAATTTTTTAGGCTGGTAGGTTTTCTCCTTTGTTGAGTATACTGTGAATTGGGATGCTGGAGTCCCTCGTCTTCAATTCCGCCTGTCTCGCCGTTTGTACTGATTGGTTACTGGTTTAGTCAAGGAAGAAGTAAATAAACATAGAAAACAATACTACAAAAATACCCATCGTAACCACATTGTAAAAATTCTGGAGAAACAGGGAAGAGAAAGATTATTACCATCTTGATGTGATAATCTCCTATTTATCCTATACATGTATTTTGTTTATGTGATTGCATGGGCATATATAAATGTTGACTTATTCTTTTTTAATTGAGTTAGAGAGGGGAAGGGAGAGAGAAAAACACATCAATGTGAGAGAGAAACATTAATCAGTTGCCTCCTGTTGGGGATTGAACCCGAAACCTGGATATGTGCCCTGACCGGGAACTGAGCCTGCCGCCTTTCAGTGTAGGGGAAGTGCTCCAGCCAACTGAGCCGCATTGGCCAGGGCTACTTAAGTCATTTCTTAAGTTCACGTATCATAATCACTTTTAACAGAGTAGAGATACACTTTTTAATTTTTATAAGAGTTTATTTAAGCCAGACTGACAAATGCCAGGGAACAAGATCGCAAATGCTCCCCAGATACACACTTTTGAATGGGTGCTGTGGTCACGTGGTTTGAAATGGAAAGTACAAGAGAACCCAGAGTGAAAAGCCTGCCCGTCTGCCCCCGGGACCACTTCCCTGCACAGGGGCCGAGTTCCCACTTCCCCACGTGTCCTCCAGAGACCGTCTCTCCACAGGCAGACACGCACGTGTGGCCTCTTTCGCTGCACAACTGATCATAAGCTACACGTTATTCTTACCTTGCTTTTGGCAGTGACTCCCAGTCAGTACCTGAGAACTTCCTCTGTCTCTGTTTCCGCTGCCAATCATCCCATTGTGTGTTTGCACCATAACTGTTTTTCCAGTCTCTTTGTGATCTAGGTTGCTTCAAACTCTCTCTTTTTCATACAGCTCCCCAGAAAGTTCTATTAAATAAATCTCAGGATATATCCTTTTAAGTAAAACAACAAAAATAACAACAAAAAATATACATAGAACCCATAAAGTAAAGAAGGAAAATCTGGAAGCCCACATGCTGGGAGCTCTCTCTTAAAATCAATGCGCCTCCGTCTGTTTCTTCGAAAAAAGATTCACAGATGTAACTTTCTCTAAATGTTTGTTAGTAATAGTCTTGTAAGTCTGGTTCCATAATAGTCTATAATGTAACTACTTCCACTGAAGGCCCAACAATCTGCATTGAAATAAGAATGAAATTGGTTAGGCTCCCAGTTTTATAAAACCCATTGTCCCAGGTAAAATTGATCTGCTCCCCAGCATCCAAGAAAAAGAGTGCAGCCGCCACTTTGTATGAATAGCCATTTACTTTTTGACAAGAGATGGGCTTGAGAAAATTAACTTTAAAATATGTTTCATTGCCCCTGAAATTATGCTGGGTGCTAGAAAACAGAGCTGTGAACACACGAGCTCTGTATTTATAAGGTGGACTGGCTCTTGCGTAACTGTTTATTCTCTACATATTTACATACATATCCCACCTTGAAGTCCTCACACTTGTCTCCTTGCCCCCCATGGTGATGGTGGCACCCTCCAAGGTCCTGTGGTGACTGACACGAGCCTCAGGACACCCACACTGAGGACCAGTGCGTCCACTCCTCACAGGACAGCCTGCAGTCAGCACCCTCAGACACACATCACTAGAGGGAAGACCTCAAAGAGGAAACACAGGACCTGGCCTGAAAGCCGTCGGCAGGCTGATCTCGGGCTGACCATCCTCTCCCTGGGCGCCTGGACACAGTGACTGGCAACCTCTCCCTTCGGAACACCACATTCCTCCCCAGTGAGCACACGGGTTACTAGTGAGCCCCTGCCCTGGCCAGCGTGGCTCGGTGGGTTGGGCATTGTCCCATGCGCCAAAGGCTTGCCAGTTCGATTCCCAGTCCGGGCCCATGCCCGGATTTCAGGCTCGATCTTGAATTCCAGCCCTGCCATTTGTAGCTGTGTGACATTGGGCAAGTTACTCAACCTCTCTGGGTCTCAGTTTCTTTACGACGTCTGAAATACTCTGGTGTGCTCTTGTGAAAGCCCAAATAATTCTTCCAGTTACTGCACTGCTCACCAACCAAACCTGTGTTCTATTTTTAAAAGACTCAAACCAAAAATTAACTCAAACTTTTGCATTATTTCTCTGAGCTACAGTATGTTCTTTCCCTGGAGAGATTTCTGATATTAAACATCATCTACATTTTGCTTGCCTCGAAAAATACATGGTAACTTCTGCCTTGCAGCACCAAACCACAGTATAGCTGAGCCCCACCACTGTGCAGAGGGCTCTAATTAGAGGCATGTTCTCTACCACAGGGCTCTGAGAAACTGGCTAAGGAGGGTTTGTTTCAGATTCTGCCTTTATTAAGCAGATGAATGCAGCCAGCACGCTCTGTGAAGCACTTTGCAGTGAGTGGCAGGTGTCCCATATCCATCTGATTACGTTAACCTAGAAAGGGCCCGCTCTGCCTCTAGGCGAGCGTCATCCCAGCAATCAGACTCTGCTAGGGCAGGGACTTTGCCCTTTGTGGGCTGGGGAGCTGGATACTCATCCTCTGTTCTTCTGATTGGAAGCTGCTGTGTGTTTTTTTATAGAAAGACCCACATCCGCTCATTATCTCCAGCCCTTCTCTTTCACTACTTTTTCCTCCTCTGAACAATGAGTCAGGCAGTCACCATCGCTGCAAGTGCCTGGGATGGCAGCTCTCTCCAACTGCCTGTTTGCTTTTGACAGCCTGACTGGCGAGGACCTTCCCACTGCGTATCTAAGGATAACCAAGGCGCTCGCTGGAACTCTAGGTTTAAGAGAAGGAAGTTGCATGGTGGTCCTAACCTAAGAAGATTAGGAGAATCCTGGAACGACTGTCCCTTGCCCAAAAATGCAGGCTTGTTAACCTGTCTTGAGCAGCTGGCTGCTATTGGTTACAGTGGCCCAAGGGCTTGCTCTGCTGAACTCTAATTAGCTTCTTTCAAAGAAAGAAAACTTCCCATGTGGTCAACCCTTCCTGAATTTTCCATAAATGGGGATTGAAGCAATAGAAGTAGGGGCTCCTGGGGAGAAGATGGGTTCTGGTGTTGATGGAAAATAATGAGCTGCTTTGAGTTGCTGATTCTGCGGTTTATTTATTTTTATTTGTTTACTTGATTCTTCAGTTTGTTTTTTAAAATATCGTTTTATTGATTTCAGAGAGGAAGGGAGAGGGAGAGAGATAGAAACGTCAAGGATGAGAGAGAATCATTGGGCCTCCTGCACGCCCCTCCTCCCCCACCAGGGATCAAGTTCACAACCCAGGCATGTGCCCTGACGGGGAATCAAACCGTGATCTGGTTCATAGTTAAGCGCTCAACCATTGAGCATCACCAGCTGGGTAATTCTGCAGTTTAGAAGTGCATATGAATCCGAAGGGCTGGGCCTGTAGTAGGTGCTCAATAAATACGCAGATGCTACAATTCCTTTGCAGCATCCCCAAACAGTACCCACCATGGGTTATCGGAGTTCATTAATCTCCAAGCAGTATAACCCAGATTCCCAATTCAGATCCAATTTCCAGACCCACTATCCCTGCTGTCCACTTCCCTTCAGTTCTGTGAATACTTTCATCTGCCATGAATTTTTTGTCCTATAGCAGCCAAATTCTGAATTCTGGATGTTTCACATAAATTCAATGCAGCAATAGTTTTTGAATGCCCATTCTTTACTAGGCACTATTCTAGGTGTTTAGAGTATGGCACCTAACAAAACAAAAAAAGGTATTGTGAACCTCCTTTCTAGTAAGGGGTCAAAAGGTCAAAAGCTTCCCACAAAGGTTTTATTAGATTCTGTGGGAGTGGTTCACCAGTGTGTCCTCACATTCACAAACTCAGGCCACACCAAGATATAGAGCCGCATTTCACACCTCCAGGGCCTGGGTGCCAGAGCCTTCTCAGTCTGCTTCCCCTCCTACCTCCCCTTAGGGTGTAGGGACCAGCTCTCTGGAGATCAACTCTCCTGGGCCTCTACCCAGCTCCCACCAGGGCCTTCAAGGCATCCCTGAGGCAGTTTGGGCCCTCAGCCTGGAGGATAGGCCCCCAAAATCCCTCCTCACCACACAAGAACACCCTGAGTGCTGTGTATGCCGGCCGGCACCAGGAGCCCTGGACCACTGAGGGATCCTCAGGTGACACGCCAGCCCAGGGAGACAGTCCCGTGTTTCTGAGGTGAATATTGACACCACACCTAACTGATGATGGGTGGGACTGGTCAGGTTTTCGGGACATTCTA